TTTCCAGGGATTGAACGTCGGGGTCTGGAAAATTTCCAGGGATTGAACGTCGGGGTCTGGAAACTTTCCAGGGATTGAACGTCGGGGTCTGGAAACTTTCCAGGGATTGAGTACCGCGGTTTTTGAAAACCACAGTACTCGTCAGGAAGCCAGATATCGTGTGGGTCCAGCAAACCATGTATAATTCAGGCTGGATTTTCATTGGCCTGGAATACATCGGTTTTTAGATTTCCATGTACTGGGGGCATCCTCTGGAGCAACAATGTATAATTATGATGTCAATTTCTAAGCTGGCAAATGTCGCCTCATTTTTTCACCTTTTTGGAATACAGTGATTTTTGAAAATCACAGTATTTTTGGCTTGCTTTGTTAAAGTTCAAATTATACATGGTTTTTGTTTTCTATCAGGAATTGAATATCGGGTTCTCTGTGTTCCATCAGGAATTGGATACCGGGTTTTCTGTGTTCCATCAGGAATTGGATACCGGGTTGTCGTTCTTCTATCAGGGGTTACTTTGAGGGATTGATTGCTGGGTTGTCTTTACCATCAGGAATTGAATGCAGAGTTTCTTCTATATTAAGAATTGAATGCATTGTTTAGCTTTCCCATCCAATGTCCAAAGAGTACCAAAGAGTTGCACACAAGCTTGGTTGCATTCCAGAATTGTGAGAAGGTTTTGTTTGGAACAGACCCACTGCGATCCTAAAGAGGTCCCATCCCACAGAATTGTTGCCTTCCATCCCAAACATTGGCAAGGGTCCCAGAGTCGAACATCTCGATGATTTTCTTCATGGGCTGGTGTCCAAGACGGATGGTCATAGGCTCCCTGATTCGGTACCACAAGCAGCAGACTTCCATCAGGTCTTGCATCGATGCCAAATCCCGCTGGGCTAGCTTCTGGCGGGCACGCGTTGGTCACAAGTAAGTAGGCCACTAAGTCAGTATGTTCTTGGAACCTCTACTTTGGACTTTGTGAATCAAACAATTGGAAATGTTCACTCTGCCCGTGTCCTTCACTTTCGCTGGAGAGTCTGGTGGGGCCTTCTTCACAAACTCAAAGTACACCCGCTCAGCCCAAATCATTGTAGCTTCCCCAGTGACCGTCTACAGGGAAAGCAGAAGGAAAGATTGAGCTACAGTATGATTTTGGGAGAGAAGCAAATTGAAAAAGAACTAGTTACACAAACCAATTCTTCCAAGACCAACCTTGGTCTCTCGCCACCATGCATCTACTGGCTGCGACCCACAAAGACAGTGCCCTGGGACGAAGTAGTCGTCGCTGAGGTTATCCAACGTCCATGCTGGCACGAGCGGGGAAGATCAGGCAAGAAAGGTGGTTGGGAGCTTGGGCAGCTTCGGAAAACATGTTTTCCAACCTCCGTGCTCCCACCGGTAGAGGTCCCCAGAGCGTTTCATTAGTTCAAGCAACTCTTCAGGACAGCGCAGAACGGCATACACCATCTTCTTCACATCTTCTTTCACTTTCCATGCCTCCCATCCATGTGGACACTGGATACCCCTGTGACTGTGGGCCCCATCATGAAACAATACTTAGAAGAGAACATCAACATAACCTCAAAACCCTTTAGCTGGCCTTCGTGGTGCCATACTTTTTGTTGTACTCAGCCACGCCCGAAAACAACATGTCTCGGACAGAGGCTCCTTTGTTGGAGAGGCGCTTTACTCGGACAACCTCTTTGAAGGTCAACGCTAGCTCTAGCGGTCCAGGACGTTGTTTCTCTGCTGTCCTGTTCGCCAAGCCTCGAGGTGACCAAGTTAGGTAAAAGGCAGTGGGTTCTCAAGGTGAAATCGAAACACTGGGTGTTCATTAGAAACCACTCAGGATTGGGCTGAGGGATTCATACACACAGAGTTCTGGAGCACGAAAGTGGACATAGTTGACCCTGACATACTTTAAGGAGGCAACAAGCTGGACTGCTTCTTCATCCTTTGCAACAGCTTCTGTAGAGATCTCCTGACTATGCAAAGCTTTTGGGACTAGTGGTATGATTGTTGTTGTAGCAAGTCCTTCTACTGCTTCTACTGGGTGTTTTGCTTCCAAGACAGCTGGTGGAGAAACAAAACTTTCGAAAGCCCTGGGGTCATCAAACTGAGTCGAGGTTCCATGTGATCCAGAAGTGCAAACACCAATTGTACCATGACGCCTTTGCAATGCCCGTCTATGTATTGGGTCGAGAACAGGGG